ACATACATACATACATACATACATACATACATACATACATACATACACATAAAGAGACACAGACAACCCCGTGACAATCGGCGTTACTTTGATCGACGTAACTGACAGTTTGGTTCTTCGACTACGCAGCTAACAACTTTTCTGGTTCCAGCGATAAATGCAGCATTGCCGGACGGTCAGTTAGCTGAGAATCTTGACATTTATTTCGTTTTCTAAAGGGATCATCAACAAAACACTTCTCCTCATAAAAGTATATGACAAAACTTCAACCATCTCGAGATATGATTGACTGGTATTGCTGTATCATTGCATCGAGTCCAAGAGGTACCTACCTCATCGACTAGAAGAAGTAAGTGAGCTAATTTTGAAGGTCCCATCCAGAACAAACGGCCGTTCGTAAACACTAAAAGTTACTAAGCACTTTATAAGGAAACGAAGTGCTCCATACTAACTTGTTCGATCCATAATCTAAGAAATTGAATAACATTTTGCACATATTCTGCATCATTTCTTCCGGAAGATCATAGTCTTCGGGATTCAAAAGTCTTGGCTGCAGCCAGTCCAGCACGACTGGATGCGAGACGATACTGGAATGCGGCAAAACCTAAAGCAATATTGGATTTTGATAAGAATTTCATTAAGAACAAGTCAATGGAAACACCCTTATTAATGAGACATGCACTAGCATCCCTGAATGACAGATGGGGGTTATTTTTTTTTTTCAAAAAGTGACATTTGCGAATGAAAACACAGGAAGATGCGCCAGAGTAGCAACTAAATCAAGAATTACGAAAAAAAAAATGGTTTAAAAAGAGAGCCCTATATTTATTTTACGAAAATACATGTTGAATGTTTAGAGGCACTAACAGCTACTGTGCCAAGTCTTGCTTTTCCAGCCTTGTTTTTTTCCAAACTAAAAACAGAAATGAACGCTTGAACGACTAAATAGAATGTGAATGGGAAGCACAAAATAAGAGAAATGAAGAAGTTACCAGCTGCTGTCTAGGAGAAACGCAACGATGAAACAAAATCTTATCAAAAATTCAGTGTTTCACAAATATGCACTACTCCATAAAAATTTTCAAACTGCTCTAACCCAAACCATTCACAATTCCCTCTAAAAGATGCCATCAAAAAAAAAAAAAAATCAATGTGTTCTACACAATAGATCTTACTTACTGTTTTATATATGTATATAATATATATGAATATATATAAATACGTATATGAATACATATATATAAATATATATATAAATATACATGTAAATATATATAACAGCTTTAACAACAAAGTGATATATATATATATCATTTTGTTGTTAAAGCTGATATATTTCACTTTTTAGGTGTGTATTTTTGCATCATTACAAATCAGCTAGTAACATCGAAGTTTAACCGAAATACGGAAGACTAGAACAACATTAAAATTTCAGTGTCCTGGCATAAAAGGCTTCTCATTTCCACTTCATGCCGCACCAATTTTTCGGCTGTTTTAGTGCGGAACTACATATTTCTAATATTCAGCTTTTGCTCCTAACATGATGCTATGCTACAATTTACTGTAGATAAGGAGGACTACGTAAAACTTGCTGCAGAAGTGGATACAGACTTTCCCACAGACACTTTCCCCATTCCAACTCATATATATCGGAAACGAAAAGGCATGTAGCGGAAAATCCTAACAATGCCCAAACATTTTAGGGCTTTTCACAAAACGGTTTTTCGTAAGTCGATCTGGAAAGGACCAAAATCACTGGCTTGTAATTTCTTAAGTGATGCACTGTACTCAGTGTCAGCAGTACTCGCCAAACGAACTTATTTGTTGCAGGAACTTAACGCACGAAGTAGGCAAGTGGGCGTTTGAATGATAGTCCCGAGAAAGTCAGGAACAATTCAGACGGGTTCAAAGAAATAAAGCAAATAAACCGAACACGTAGTGCAATGGAGAAGGAAAGCCTAACTCCGCTGAACCTTCAATCGTTGTCAATATACTTTTCTATTGATAATATGTCGTTTATAGAGCTAAATGTAGCTAAAATTTATGTTTTTCTGATAAACGTTTTACTAAATCTCATGCTTAGCTAACTATGTTCTACGTATCAACGGTTAACTTTTACAACCTTTTAGTTTTTGCTTAATATATGCACTTGTTTTTAAAATATCAAGCCATTCAAGCTAATATTCCCTTTGAAAAGCTACCGAAATACTGCAATTTTAACCTGATGAACTATAAGAAATCTCAACTTACGCTTTCAAGAAGTCGCCTGGCTTCATCAGTCAAATCATGCATGAGCAGAGCTCGATAACATTCAACAAACATATACGGCGTTTTCTGGCAACACTCCAGCAATGCTTCCAACAGCCTTTCAATTTTTCCAACACACTTCAAATACTGCACACATGCATAGATGAAAACTGTTTCCTGTCCATGTGGCGCACCCTAAAAGAATAAATTGAAATATATGCATCCAGACCAACTCAAATTTGTTAGGGAAACAAATATCGTTCGCACAACTGTGTGGCATTTTTTTGCTTAGTTCTGTCACCCACATTCAACTCAGCAATCGTAGGAGCTAGGGAGCTGAAATTTCATAAGGATGTTCCTGTCACCGAAACAGCTTAAAATTAACGTTCGTGCATGTCTGAGTTTTATGTATGGACGCTTAGAAAACATGTAAATTTGTTAGTGGGAAAACGAATTCGGGAACCGCATACGAAGCTGAAAATTCATGTGGATATTCTCAACTCATGTGCGAGCAAAAGATTTCAAATTCAGCACTCCAAAATTCTGCATGTGGACATATCAAAAGTGAATTCCAAGTACAAAGTGTTGGCACAATGCCAGGACAAGAATTAGACAGAGTTGTGCATGCTTTCTTCACGGGAACGTTTATTGTTCACAAACCGGTATGCAAATGCAAATTAAGCTTTGATGCGCGTCTGTGTGACGTATTTTGATATGTCAAAGATATTTTCAACGAAAAGCGATCTTGAAAAATCAGTTAAGTTAGGAAGTTGAAATTTTACGAAGATATTCTATACCCACATGAACGACTGAAATATTTCATATTCAGCTTTAGGGTACGCCAAAAACTTGAGTGCAGACAAATGAAAGTTCAGTTTTGGGAACCTTGTTTTGCAAATAGTATGGATTCATACAGTTTACAAAAGCGGGCCTTGTCTCCCAAAAAACGCTTCTGACTTCTGAAAATGTTGTTGGTTTTCTTTTGTAAGGTGGCAAGCACTGTTCTCCGTCTAGCATTCTTCCCTCAGCCCTGCCGTAGCATTGTTTTTCGTAGCGATAGGCGATTATTTCTTTAGTTTTCTACTTTCCCGACATCCTCTACTCCCAAATTTCTTTTTTTTTTTTTATTCTAACTCGGACTGAATCCAAAGATCCATATGTTACTAGCTCGAGTTGGGACTCTGCCTATTTAAAAATTTTTCCACCTAGCACAGCCTCTAAATAGATGCAGTTGTGGTTATTTTCTAATTTTGTTGCATTTTTTGCGGAGCATATGAATATCTACGTTATTCAGCGATAACACTTCACCTACCAACGAGCAAAAACCCCTCTTTTCTATAAAGAATTTTCCTTATGTCGTAGGAGAAACCCAGTTATGCAAATAATGTGGATCAAGAGGGAATGGATCTGTCATCCTCTCTCCTTCCGGATTCTTCAATCGTGAGGCGCAGACAGTGGTCTACTCAGCAATGCTTCGTGTTTCGCAAAGCAACTGTAACATTTATATCTGTATATATGCCACTCAAATACATACCACTCTATAGCGTTCTACGTTTCTACCACAAGTCGCGCAAAATTCCCAAATTTTGGCTATTTTTGGCAAGTACCCCTCCACAAACTACACCTGATAAAAATAAGAAAAAAGTTAAAAAAATTTACCAACATAGCCGCTGTAAGTTCCTCCGCTAAATCAAGTGAGCTACTTTCGGCACAAGTACCTTCTTTTGCCAGACGCCAGCGTTCAAAACGAAATAAAGATCGATAAGCATGGAAGACATTGTTG